CCGTCGTATACACCCTGCACGAGACCCACAACTCCCTCGCAAGACTCCCATTCGTTGGGCTCGTACGAAGCTGGAATGTTCCACTGGCATCCCAAGACATCGTAGATGTGCTGGCAGCGAGCTCCGGCATCGTTACCCCAGCAAGCACGGAAGCAGTACTGGTTCCAAGACATGAAGTTTGTCCATTCTTGAACGAAGAATGGACGGCCATTCGTCGCAGGGTTGGCCGTAGTGAAGACGACACCACCGACTGGGTTGGAAAGATCGTCCATACCGTGACTGTCCATCTCTCCACCGTCATCACCCTCTGGGATGCCGAAAGAGGTGAAGTCACCGGTTCCGGTCACTTGAACATATCGGTCGGTCTGAACCCAATGAACGGAGGTAAGGGTGCCGTCCGGAATGAGGCGCTGAGGTCGACGCAGGGAGCGTCGGCAGTAGCGAGAGTCAGCGCCAGCTTCTGTAGGTGCTCATGCATAATTCATTCACCGTCCTCATCTACTCACAGTACCGTGGCTGGGCCTTGTGCAGAAGGCAACGGCTTCGCGTTCGGTAGCACCGACGGTACCTCCATTGGGTGGACCCCAAAGACAAAAGTCCGAGGCAGAGTTGAGCCAGGCAGTCTGGCACCTAGATTCTTGGTTCCAGGTATCAGATGGGCAGACGTTCCATCCATATTGGTCGACATTGTTGCCCGAACGGTTGCGTCCCATGTATTGGTCGGGCATAGACTCCAAAGCTGCGAATAGGAACAGATTGAATCGGATGTGAGCTTGATGGACAGACGAGGTTGACAAGTCACAACGTCGCGACTCACTGTACTCTGGCTTGGGCGTCCAAGGTGTCCAGTCTCGTTGAGGCCGTCCACGGTTCGGTGCTTGTGCGGCTTCTGCATCACCGGTGGCGTTTTGTCTTGCCTGAGCGTTGACTGCTGCGGCATACGCCAAGATGGCGGCGAGGGACAGAGCAAATCGAGCCATGGCGTAGGATTGGAGTTAAGTTGGTAGCCAAGAGGAGCACAAGCAGGTTGTGTAAGTACTGGCAGAGTGTGACGTTAGGAAGAAATACCAGATAGGTGGCCTGGATGTCGATGGCCAAGCAGTGTAGGTAGTGAGGATGGTGAAAGTAAGAGGGATCTGTGTACCTTCGGTCGTGAACCTAAAAAAGGGAGCGTGGGTGAGTGGTTGCAGTGAAGAGCTAAGGGCGGGTAAGGGTGTATATGTGTGTGTATGTGTGGCAACGGTAAACGCCTCAATCTGCCGATCTGCAATTTGAGCCAAGCCCTCCTGGTGATTGGAATCTTGATGCGAACGCCGAGTGCGAGAAGGAAGTCGCCGTGAGACGGTCTTCGAGCGGCTTGCGGTCCGTCTGCTTGAAGGAAAAGAGCGAGAGCGAGAGAGGAGTGAGGTGGATTCGAATAGACGTTTGAAACGACCACAGAGCCAAGCGATGCGGTGCGCTGGGAATAGGAGGAGAGAGCAGGTGGTTGCAGGAGCGGGGTAAAGAAGGGATCGAGCAATTCATGTGGCCACATGCTCTCTCAACAAGACTCAGGGACCGGCTCAGCTCGAGGCCCGCAATGAATCGAGCATTTGGGGACCGAGGTGTACACGTTCAGAGTAGCTTGCGTGAAGGCAGGTCGCGTGTTCCACTGACCTCAAGCCTCCTTCGCCTTTGTTTCGCTCAAGGCACGGTTTGCTGCACCGGGCATGGATGGGGCTTCATTCGCTCATCTGCCTTCGGTGACATTCGTCTTACATTTGCACTCGACAGAGGTCATCATGTTGTACAGTGTATCATGACTGCTCGAGTGAAGCCACTGCGGCATTACTCTAGGAGCTCTGCATCAGATTGAATATCAGCCAACG